CGGGCTCTTCCTTTTTGGAAACTTGTGTCAATGGACTGACGGCTCCCAGCCGCTCCTGTGCTGCCCTTCAGTCCGCCGGGCCCCCCCCGCCCGGCCCGGCCCGCTCCGCTCCCCTCCCCCTCACCTGCCTGCGCGAGGCGTCTGTCCGTGCCTGGCGCCCTGAAGAAAGCCATGTCTCGCGGGGGCTGTGGCAGCCCATGGCGGGGGCGGGGGGTTCGCGTTGGCGGGGGAGCGTGCCGGGGCTTCGGAGCAACCCGTTGGAGCCTTTTCATTGTTCGCTGTCCGCATGACACGCCACCGGAGAGGGTTTCTGTGTTTGGAGGGAGGGAGGGTGGACAGGGGTTTTGTGCCGCTCGCACAATCGTGTGCTGTGCGGATGGGGAGAAGCGGGCATTTAGATGTGTCAAAATGGATACTGGATGGCCGGGGAGAAGGCAGGGTGGCACCCCTAAAGACTAACTCCTTCAGAAAGACAGCCACAGGTGACGGCCTTTGTCGGGGGCTGTGAATGGACCTGTGCCATCCCACAGCCATGAAGCAGGTGGTTGCCTACAAAAGCTCCTGCGTTTGTGAATGAGTCTGAAACCAAGCTGAATGCAGGGCAGCGTGGCACCTTATGGAGAGAGAACCAGCGCAGGGAACCACCTCCACCTACTACGGGCGTAGCAAGACCAGTGGTCTAGAATCAACCAAAACCCGACTCAAATAGTGTGAGTGTCCTATCGTGTACAGTCGGCTAGCGATCACTTGCCATTTTCCCCTTCAGTATAATGCAGTGAGTTGTACCTGAGATCCAAATAAAGTCCTTAGTTTATGCATGTGGGGAGGGGGTTGTTTGTTTTTGTTTTTTGATGGATAGTTATAAGAAGACAGAACTGGGTAGGACCTTTTTGGTCATGCAGTCTAATCCTCTGGTACTGTAGGCAACCACATTATTTGATCTCTTTCAAAGTAATTAAGCTCATCTTAATTTCTAAATAATTAAAAGAAATAAAATGCAAGTCCTCTGCTTGTATCCCCCTGCCATCTTTCGTGGTTTTGCATCTTATTTGCCGTGTGATATTTTACTTGAGTGACCATTGGAAAGTTGCTTTAAATTTCATTCATTTGTCAATGATAATCTGAAATAAATTTATATTTGCTTCTACCAGAAATGAGTATTGGCTTGTTAGTGTAGTAAGTGACTAGATGCTTAACACTGCTAACTTTCTTTTATATTTAAAAAAGAAAAAAATGTGCACCAAGAATGGCATAGAATGTGAAAATGATAAAAGAGAAAAGATCAGGTTTCAAATTATTCATTTTGAGAATCTTTAAAAGGCTCTATTGTATACTGTTCCAAAATTACTTGGATTGAGAGAGTGTTTTGGCTTTCTACTGGAGTCAAATTTTAACTGCTGTTCTTCAACACTTAACCAAAGGTTCAACATAGGTGCAAACCCAGATATCTGCTGGGAGGAGCAGACAGCCAAAACAAGCCGCTCATGGAGGTTCTTACATTGTATGCAGGACCTCCACCTAACCCAGGTGGTGTCTAATCCCACCAGGGGTAGCACCTTGCTTGACCTGGTTTTAGCAACAGGTGATAATCTCGTGGGGAACATGCGAGTTCACGGTAGCCTGGGAGATAGTGGCCACCACTTGGTCGAGTTCACTATCCAGCGAAGGGTGGGTAAAGTAACTAGTGGGGCTAAGGTGTTGGACTTCAGAAGGGCCAACTTTAGCAAGCTTAGAAGGCTAGTTAGTGAGGAGATGCAACTCAAGAATATAGAGCAAATGAGGGTCCATGAGGGTTGGAGGTATCTCAAGGGAGTGATCCTTGGGGCTCAAAAGGAGTCTATCCCATTATGTAGGAAGGGAGGTAAGGGGGCAAAAAAGCCCCCTTGGCTGAACAGGGAACTCCAGGAGAGTCTGGAGGCAAAGAAAGAGATATATAGGCAATGGAAGCAGGGAGCAGCCACCAAGGAGGAATATATCTCCCTGGTGCGCTATTGCAGGGAATCGGTTAGATAGGTCAAGGCGGGGCTTGAGCTCAGGCTGGCTTCAACAATCAAGGACAATAAAAAGTCCTTCAGGTATATAGTGGGCAAAAGGAAAGCTCA